TGTATTTCTTTGGTCAAGATTGACAAGTTTTTTCATAACGAACTGAACACAGACCTTCCATCCAAACTTAACTTAACGTTAAAGACCTTCCATCCAAACTTAACTTAACGTTAACTAGAGTGACAACAAGTGGCGATAACCACCATTCTTATAATAAACACTTACCCTTTTTCTTCTTCCAAAAAATTATCTCGGTTTCTTTTTGTTTTTTTATTAACTTAATTGAAGACATTTTTTGCAGAAGAAAAGAATTGTCATTTGATCAACACGTACACATTAATTCGCAATTTGCCAGAAACGGAAAGAAATTACATAATGCAGATTGGGGCAAAATTTCTTGATTTTATAATAAAATAATTATTATCACGTAACTTCATCACCTGCTGACACAAAACCTTGTTATGAAGTATCATGTTTGTGCCTAATAAAAAATGTTAGTATAATCTATAATTGTTTATTTTATTAAGAAAGTATATATCTATTTTCTACCTGTCAAATTTAATTTCCGAATCGGCTCAGGATTATGGGTAAAAAAACATACTATTAAAATAAATTCACTTATTATGATTTACTTGAGAAAAGTAATAAAAACAATAAAAACTATTTATTTAGTTATTTTATTTGTTTTTTAGCAACTGCAACCTTGTGCTGTCTGGAATACCTACTAATCCAATTTTCAATTGTACTTAATTTTGGTATGTCAATTACTTCCAACTCACCTACTTCCACGTTTTTTTTCAATTCTTCAAGCATTTCTTTAGGTGTATATCGTTCACTTTTACATGCATCACCTGTATGAAAAAAGGTCTTTAATAACTCAACTACTTTATTGGACATATGTTTTCCACCACCTTTCTTTCCAAATTCCTGGTTTTCTTTTAAAGCCCAGCCAAGCGGGAAGTAATTTCTATATAGATAAATGGACATAAATAATTTCTATATAAATAAATGGATGCATAAATAAATCATTAGAGTTTCAACACAATCAAATTTCCCAAATACCTTGTTGCTATATGTTTTTCAGCATTATCAAATTGTTCTTCTATAATAGATAAGTCTTTTTTTTTTTTTTTTTCTTGGTTGTAAATTATCTATATCATCTTTATCATCCACTATTACATCTAAGTCCATTCTTTTCTTTGCTTCTAGATAATAAAAACATAATTAGCCAAGTTGGTAGATATTTAGAAAAATAATTTTATTACCTTCTATTTTATTATCTGTTTCAAATTCAATGTTTGCTCTTAAAAGTGCAACTAAATCTGATCGATTATTTTTTTCATCATAATTTAGGCCTCTTTGATCCAACATTTTTTTAATACCATCTTTCTTTAATTTATCCAATCCCATACCTGGTTCTAAAAAATAAGTGGTAATTTGAGACATAGATTTTAATGATGATGTATTTTAATATATTTGAATATGGAAAATAAAAACTTTTTTTTATTTATTGTTTTATTTAGAAGAAATTACTAATTCAAACCTGTTGATGGCATTGGTGTTATCCATTGAGCCTGGGAGTCAGTATGTGTGGAAATTTGAGGATTTGGCCTATGTTGTTCACCTCCCTTCATTGATTTATGAATGTTTTCAGGAGAGAAATCATTACATTTTCCAAAATTTGGAAGAGCTCTACCACGAACGAAACCAGAAAACTCTCCTTCAACTGGCCATTGGAATTCAAACCAATTTGAAATGCCAGGAATTATAGGTTTTTTTTCTTCTTTATGCTTACGATCAGGCTCAATATTTGCAATTGATGTTCCTTTAATCTCTTTGGCAGCTTCTACTATATCTTGTCCTTCAGATATATTATGTCCAAGCCTAACATATCTTTTAATTGCATGTGATACCTGTGGAATTAAGGGAAAGATAAGTAATTAATTTTATTTATAATAAATTTATTATTAGCAATTAATTATAAACCTGAGCATGATGTGAATCTATTGTTGTTTTGGCTTCCCCTGCTTCCAAAAAGGTCCAACTATGAACATCCACCTCATACCAAATTTTCCAATTTGCAATCATAGCCATCAATTCGGAGCAATGATAATGTGCACCATTATCAGATAGAATTTTTATCCATTTTGGTTTTTTTTCAAGGGTGTTAAATACAACTTCAAAACATGAGGCAGTAAACCAAGCATCTTGGGCTGTATCTGAGGACCAGTGATCAAAAGCTTGAATTTCTAAATCATTGTTATGTTTGGTGTAAACTAACATTGAATGTAGAGTCCATCCAGATTTCCCATAAAAATCAGATTTTGCTTCACGAGCTGACTGTGGTAAAATCTTCATTTTATAATCAACTACAATGATTGCACCCTCCTCATCAAGAGAAAGCAAGTTAGCATTAAATTGAGCATTAAGGTATGTCTTTCTTGCCTGGTGTGACCAATAATATTGAAGCTTATTTCTGTTATTAATAATTTGTTCTAAATCATTTGGCATAACTTGCATTAGTTGATGAAACCATTTTGATATCTTATTGCATTGGTTACAGTTCATTAGTAGATAAGATTTTATTATCAATCAGTAATTCATGTTTAGTTAGGTGATTATTCACTGCTTTTAAACTATTATATTATTGATTTCTTCATCAGTATAGCTATTATTGTTGTTGTTCTTCATACACCTATAGCCCTATATATAATTTTTATTTGTTTATTAAAATATTATCACTCACTACCAGCATTATTGATTATTGAAATAGATATAGTATATAAGAAAATATAAATTCAATTAGGTACAGTCAGTCTTGCCAAAGTAGATAGATATTGAAGCAAATTTTAATTTTTTTTTATTTATCCGTAAAGATCTAGTAAAGATGCATTAATTTTAATTTTAACTTTGCTATTTGTTTTCAATTATTCTTCTTTTCTTTTTTTCTTCTTCTGTTTCCTTTATTTTATAAGTGATTGGAGATATTTCTATTTCAACCAACCACTTCTTTTGTAATGGTGGTGTACTTCGATCATCATCATTTGGATAAGTTACCAAATATTCCACTCATTGTATTATAAAGACTAGTGCCGTAATCCAAAAAAGGAAAAAGTATGGTTGCAAAAGTGGTCACAAAGGTAATTGCAATCATTTTTTATATGCCGTAAATACAATTACTACCATCCTCATAATTTACGGCACTAGTCTTTATTATATTACAATTTTGAAATATAATTGACTACAACATTATAAAAAAAATTGATTACTTTAGTGCTTAAACAGCAACGAAAGAAATATATATATACTTACCCTTAATTGAATTAGTAACAATAGTGAACCAGCTAAATTTCTATGCCTTGAATTGTTGCTGGAAATTTAAAAGACATGATCTCATGATATAAATAAAGTTCTGGGAATTTTAAATACATTACATAGACTCTGGCCTCCAGACCTAAAATTATACAATGATAAATGACTATTTTAATCATTTTTATTGACATAACCTTTCATTTAATTGCCTGAGGTTTGTATGCCAAATAAAGACTAGTGCTGTAAATTATGATGATGGTATTATTTACGGCATATAAAAAGTGGTTGCAATTACCTTTGCGACCACTTTTGCAACCATACTTTTTCCTTTTTTGGATTACGGCACTAATCTTTAATGCAAAATGATTTCAACTTATCAATATTATCACCTTTTTCTTCTTGTAGTAATTCTTTATAAATGGAAGTAATTTGGTCATGTAGTAAAATCCCTAATTTTTTTTTATCTGTTTTGAATTTTCTACAATCTTCTACATAAGTTTTTTTGCTTTTTCAATCACAAGTATCTCTTTGTTCATTTTTTTATTGATTAATTTTGAATCAGGAATTAATGATAAATGGGTTTTATCATCATCCTTGTCGTTTCTTCTTTCGCCATTAGCAGTATGTAGCTGCCAAATATATAATAACCAACTAGAGTGACGACAAGTGGTAAAATATTCTGGATGAATTTTTGACTAATCTTATTGGGTCAATGCATAACCGCTGTCAACTTGTAATTGATAGCAATGGTGAACGAATTAATTATTAATAAATTTTATTCTTTATATTGTCAAAAGCCTTGCTTTTTGGCTTTTAAACAAGCTATCTCATTTTAAAATTAAAACATTCTATATAAAACTACAATAAAAAAACGGAGGCCAATTTTTTTCTTAACACACTGTATATACTTTCTTAATAAAATAAACAATTATAGATTACACTAACATTTTTTATTATGCACAAACGTGATACTTCATAACAAGGTTTTGTGTCAGCAGGTGATGAAGTTACGTGATAAAAATTATTTTATTATAAAATCGAGAAATTTTGCCCCGATCTGCATTATGTAATTTCTTTCCGTTTCTGGCGAATTGCGAATTAAATAATTATTCGTTTTATTCGTTTTATTTGTTTTATTGTTATTAATTAGTTTTTCGTTTTATAAATTAATTATTTGTTTTATTAATAATTATTTGTTTTATTTGTTTTATTTGTTTTATTTGTTTTTGCTCAAATTATTTTTTTACTCAAATTATTTGTTTTATTCAGTAAACTTTATTTGAATAGAAACCTAACTGCTACTCAAGATTATGATATTATTTTAGCACAAAAAGATTTAGAAATAATTTAATTACAATATAAAAAAGAGTTATTGGTTTATTAAACTAAGCCTAAAAAAAGGATTAATTTTAAAAGAATATCTGATAAATATCAGCATTTTCAATATTTACTAGTAGGCTTTTAGACTATATGATAAAAATACTAAGAATATTATTAACTTATCAGTATGCCAATACCAAAATTATTTTTTTAAAGAATAATCAGATTCTGATATTTGCTGATACCCCATTACCCAAGTTGGACCAATAGATTATACAGTAGGGATCAAAAGTTTTTGGAAATTTTTCGCGTGATGTTGATCTTGTACTATAACTTGT